GAGGGAGTAACGCCAGTGGCAGGGGTAGCTCCTCTGCCCTGTCCTTGTCCCTGCTGAGAGCTCAAAAGAGGCCTGTGGAGCTGAGGGGAGCAAGGATGACGGGGGCATCGGGTGGGGTGAGGATGGGTGTTGTGTCTGACGTGGTCTCTTCAGCCTCACTCTCCATGTCCTCCAAGCTCTCACTGACAGAAGGAATGATCTGCACCACCTTCTCCTGGAAGTGTACTTGCTTGCGTGGGGCTGGTGGGGCCACTGGTTGGGCAGGAGCTGCTGGGGACGGGCTCCTGTCCTTGCTGCCCTTCAGGATGCTCTTCATGTGGCCCAGCAGCGAGCGGTGTTCCTCCCTCTGGGCCCCGTGGAAGGTGTAGGTCTGCTCAGTGTCACCAGCAGTGGTTAGCAGGAAGTATGCCAGGGCAGTGAGCACCAGCATGGACCCTGGGGAGAAGGCCATGTTGGCTGAGGGCTGGGACAAGGCAAAAAGCTTACTAAGCAGTGCTTGGTCTAGCTAGCTCAGCACTGTCTGCAACCAGTCCAGCACCCTGCACATCCCCACCCGCTCTGGCCCTCAACAGACCATGCTCCTCTTTCATCTGCACGCAGGAAGTATGCCAGGGCAGTGAGCACCAGCATGGACCCTGGGGAGAAGGCCATGTTGGCTGAGGGCTGGGACAAGGCAAAAAGCTTACTAAGCAGTGCTTGGTCTAGCTAGCTCAGCACTGTCTGCAACCAGTCCAGCACCCTGCACATCCCCACCCGCTCTGGCCCTCAACAGACCATGCTCCTCTTTCATCTGCACTACTCCCCACCCCAGCACGGGCTCCTCACCAGGGATGGTGACGTGCCAGACGAGGACAGGATGCAGGAAGCAAGCCACTGAGAGCAGCATGTACCCCAGGAATTTCTGGAAGCTCCCCGGGTGTCTAGCTCGCTTCCAGCAAGCCTGTGCCAGGGAGTCAGGCTGATATCTGGGGAGAGAAACAGAAGTCCTTGTGGGATGGGGCACCAAGCACATGGCAAGAAGATTTGGACCTAACTGTCACCTATCTAGATGTGATGTCGAAAACCAGATCCTCTGGTTTTCCAGGAAACCGGTGTGTTGGTCAGGGAAGGTAATCAAAGCCTGAGCCTCTCTCATGGGGAGGAGAGGCCAGGGGCTACATCTGCCAGACATCAGCATCTCAGGCCATCTCTCCTTGGTGTGTTTGCCCACTTGGCCACTAGCTGAGTGCCTATTAGCTGGAGTAAGGTGTTACCTCAAAGCTATCAGGGCTTCTGAGTTTACGCTAGAAGACTGCAGAAGTGCTCAGCCTCTGAGAAGTACGTAAGGCTTAAGTACATAAGTAAAAATCTACATTTTTAATTTAAACTTCTGAACCGTCTCTGAGAGGGAGCTGCAGCTCACCCTGTGGATCTGGCTCTTCCCTCAACCCCTGTCCCTTGTAGGACTGTGTGTTAAGCAGATGCTGCAGAGAAGGTTTGTTGTGCTGATGCTCAGCAAATTATGGCACAAGCTTGGGTTAAAACACGAGTACAATTGGCTGTGGACATGGTCCCACTTACCTCCCACCTGCCTGAATGCACTTGCCATGGCATTAGGGGCAGGACCTTTGGTCTGGCACTTGCAGCTCAGCTAGGTCTGGTGTTGCCTGCAAGGGGCAAGTTGCCTTAGGGAGGTCCCACCAAGGCTGGAGAAGACTGGACAGAGTCTACTCACGTGAAGCACATCTCCAGGAACAAACTGATAAAGAAGAAGCCTTCACAGACAGTAACTGCAACCCCTGAAAAACTGAAAGGTGGAGCTGTCAGGGGGGCAGGGCTGGGCTTGAGTATGCTCTCCAGGTGGCAGAAGGGGCATAGAGGGCCAGGATTTACTACCAGTTCACAACAGAGTCTGTGTGCTGGGGTTTGAACACCCTCTGCTCAGCTGGTTTGTGAAGGAGAGCTCAAAGCCCTTCTGTTCCCAGGGAGTCAACTTGCAGCCATTGTCACCTCTGGACTGCCTGAGTCTGCAGTAGCATGGGTGATGCAGTAGCATCACTTTCTCTAACAGAAATAACTTACTTATCCGAAACCTAGAGGTGGAGATCTGGATTCCCCAAAGCCTTGGACACTGCTCCCTGCTGCTGTTGCAGTCTAGTCTGGTGCTACATATGATGGAGGGGTCAAACATGTCACCCCCACCAGCTCTGACTTCAAGGGCAAAAATACTCACAGCAGATAGAAAGCCAGGCTTTTGAACTGTCCTCGCTGCAGAGTTTCTACGCCCACACCGATCAGCACTAGAAAGAGAAGGCAGGAAAGATGCTGACTGCAGGGTTGGTTCCCAAGTCTCCGGTGCCCCATCAGCTCCTGGGATGGATGCCCTGGTTCCCCCAGGGCCTGGCGAGGCTGCTCCTCCCATGCTGGGCAGCACGTTAGGACCGCCCGCACCAGTGATTCATGCTGACACACCAACCCAGGGGGATCAGAGCTGAATGCTGTCCTTGACACACAGCCCGGAAACCCATCCCAGCTGCATCCCTGTCATGGCAGTCTTGCCACCACATGCGCTGGGGAGAGGTGCTCGGGGAATATCAGCTGGCCTGGGGCAGGTGGAGGAGGTGAGCCACGGTGTCCTGTGTCCATCCCATCTCCTGCCACGCTGCTCCATCACAGCTGCCACAGAGACTTCCCTCCCACTGCTGCATCCACCTCTGTCCCCTCTTGGTCCGGGGACCTCTCTGTCCAGGTCCCCCCAGTGCCACCAGCCCCTCTCCTCTCCCCTCCCTGCTTGCCCAGGCCAGCTGCACCCAACATGCGGCTGCAGCAGGACTGGGGAACTGTGCCAGCTGCCTTCACAAAGGGCCATAGCCATAGCATCGAGATCCTTTGCTAGCCAAACAGAAAAACATGTAACGGGAGCAGGCAGATTAAAAACAGGCAATGAACGTCCCCTCGGTGTCCCAGCCAGCACAGCACACTGGGGAGTCAGTTTAAGGGGGATTAAGAGCATTAGTGAGGCTAAAATCTTCTCTGGACTGGGCGTTGGGGCCAATAGCTTCAGGGGATGGAAAATTTCCTTCAACATCCTTCAATTCTTGTTTGGAAACAAGACTGTTTCCAAAATGGAGCAGAAACAAAGCATCTCACACCAGCTGCAACAAGTTTGTTGGTCCACAACCGGCCAGTCACAGTGCACGAGTGCCAGCGCGTGGGGCTGAGTGGAGCCCATGTCTCATGGTCAGGGCATTGGTCTAGGCAGTCACCACGCTGTGATGACCTCAGTCTGTGCTTGAGGTCTCCACAGCTCACAGAGCAGTCCCTGCACATCTCAGGAAGTTCACTGCTGGTCCTGCTCAATGCACGCCAAGGCTCGAGGTGCCACTTGGCTGCATGTATCTGAGCTGTGGTTTGCCCCAGCTGGAGAAAGGTACCAGGCTCCCACACTGGGATGCAGACCAGTGTCCATCAAGCCCACGAGATGGGTCGATGCTGTGGGTCTGTGCCTGACCACACTCCAGTCCAGGCTGAACAAGTCCTCTCCGATGTCCCTGTGTCACCTGCAGCAGCTGGCCGCTGTCGGCTGGCAGAACACATGGGGCCCACGCACCACCCTGCTCCGTGGAGGCTGCCTCTCCAGCCCCAAGCAGAGGCGCGGGGAAATCAGTCTCACCAGAGGGCTGTGAAACTGTGTGAGCTGCGAAATCCCACATGCAGAGTATTGTTCTTTGCTATCTCGTGATTGAGAAGGCTTCTTTATAATCTTCCCTGCAAATGCAGAATTCATTCATTCATCCGTTCATTCCCCGTGGATGAATGTAGAATTCAACAGCGCAGCTGTTACGCTCGAGTCTCTGCTCTGGATGGGGAGATTTCCTGGTTTTGCACAGCTTCTGCTTTATCCACAAAGCTGTTTGGATGAAGAATCTGCAAGAAGCAAAGGGCTGTTTCCGAGGTGTTTGTTTGGACTAGTTGCTGCCTTAATTTGGATCTTATCCAAACCATGTGGCTAAAGGCACATGATTAGGAATTAAATGGTTGAAAGCATGAGAATTAAGAAATGAGTAAGGTCTCTCTCCCTACATGCAGAAATCACAAGGCCTAAAATCTCTGAACTACAGAGATTCCCCAAACACTGCAGCAAGTCGTGGGGCTGGCTGATTTCTCACGCACAGAAACCCTGTAGCCCCACCGTTGCAGACAGCCATTGCACTCCGGGATCCTGGGGGAAGGGGAGGTTTATATTATGTGGGCAACCTTCTGTGTTTGCAGGCAGCTTATGGAGCTGGCTGGGCCTTCTCAGAATCAATTAGTGAGGCTGATGCACTCTCCTCTCCCTTCCATATTTTTTTTTTTTCAAAAAAACCCCCATGGGATTCTCTTCTGCATGGTTTCCATTTCATGCAAAAACCTCATACACCTCATCAGGCACTAAACACTGCATCAAGCTGTTGTTCCGTTGAGCCACATAGAGGAATAAAACACAGGCACCTCCCATTCTCCCCTGGCCTTTTGGGAAAGTCAGGTGATGCTGGGAAGGCATCAGAGCTATAGAAAAGCACAGAGATTGGTACTGCAGCTGTCTACGCCCTGCGATGCTCAGCGGAGCGGTGACTGCACTGCTCGTTTCAAGAACTACAGCATGAGGTGCAGACAATGCAAAATGATGAAAAGAGAGCAAGGAGGAGAGAGAGAGATTATATTGTACTTCCAAATTGTACGCTACTTTCAATTTTGCTGTTCTAGCTTTAGTTTTCCCATGGCAACAAGCTCATGTTTTCTCCCAGGAAGGTCTCTATGAGTTTCCCTGGAGCTTTAAGAGTGAATATGACCAGCATGGGTCTCAGTGGGCCCAAGAGGGCTAGGGATGGAGAAAGGAAGAGATTTGCATTTGCTGGTTAGAGCTGTGTCCCAGCTCCTATCAGTTGCAGTCTCATCATGATGTGAACTTATCTACTGGGAGTTTGTATAAACTCAGAGACTCAAATCTCTGCCTGTTCCCCAGCACAGCCTCCAGCATCCCAGCTGGGCTTTGGGTGTCCTTGGGGACCTATGCTCTCTTCAGCTGACCTGTGTGTTTTCTACTTTGCCCCTGACTTGAGCAAATTGTCTCTCCCGGATGTCTGTAGTTGATAAAGGAAATAGAAATGTAGGAGGGCCTGCTGTGACCTACTCGGTCATGTCCAAAATCTGAAATTCCCAGGGGAATTTCACACAGGAACCACAAGCACCACCTCAAGTCACGTCTCACCAGGAACCTCTGGTTCACACCTCCAGCCTTTAGACAAACCAGGCACTTTGATCTCTGCTTTACTGATGGGGAAACTGAGGCAGGGAGTGTTGCCTGTCCTGTCCCATAACAGTGAGTCAGCAGCAGTGCCACAGTGAACCCCCGAGCCCTACGCGTTAGCTGTTTCCCCATGTCCCATCCAGATATGCTCCATGTGAGAGGGTTATTCACCACAGCCCAGTCCTTCTGGGTGAGACACTGTGCCTGCGACAGCTGGCTCAACACACCTGTGTTTCATGAGAAACCAAGCTCTCGGATGTGTCACCAAAGCAGAGGACGCTGGTCCCAAGCAGCCCCTGGCAGCAGGTGGGAGGATGCAGCTAGCCAGGTGGGTGAATTTAGGTTTGTACTGCAGCTATAACCTGCACCGCTGCCCGAGCCTGCTCCCTGATGGGTTGCTAGAGAGGCAGCGCAGCACTTTGGCAGTAGCTGGGCCACCATGGCTGGGACCTCTCCAGCCTGCCTGGCACAGGACACCTCCCTGTGCACAGCTCAAGGAGCTCCTCCTTCATTTTCACATCCCACAGAGCAGCCTGGCAGTTTTGCACAGACATAAGTATTTTGCTTTTCAGTTTCATTCACATCTTGCCTGTGTTTGAATGTAAAACGTTCACTGTTTTACAAGAATATATTTTAGTTTTCTCTTCCACTTGTGGTTTAGCTTGTCCTTTGCCGTACTGAGTGCTGGCTTTTCCTTTCTGATGTCTCACTATGCCTCCCACAGCATTTGGAAAGAGCCTGACCGGGCACCCGGCACCCTCCCTCCCTGGGTCCCAAAGCAGAAGTGAGCAAGTTTCATTCCCCCCCTCATAGGATGGGGCAGCGGCTGCAGCTGGCCAGAGGCAGGGATACAGCTCAGGGGTCCCGAGACCCACTCAGTGCCTTTTAGTGCCAAAGAAAAAGAGAGCTCGCTCTTACCTGCTGCAGTGGAGATGCCCAGCAATCGGCAGGTGTACTCCAGGGCACTCCAAAACGCCTTGTGCCGCATGGCGAAGGGATGAAGACTACGGTGCTGGCCAGGCAGAAGCTCCTCTGCAGACCTCCCACCTCACACGTAGCCCAGCAGCTCCCAGCGGCAGGCAGAGCCTCTTGCGCCCAGGGCCAAGTGACCTTCCTTGAAGGAGAGGGCAGCGCGTGCAGGACTGGCCGCCTCCACCGGGAGGGGGGAGCCGGCGGCCACCACAGGGCAGCGGGCAGCACCGCTTCCCGCTGCTCCCGCGGGGCTGCGGAGACTTGGCCTTTCCCTGCTTGCTCGCCGCTTGCTTGTGTTGCTGGCCCGGGGGTGATTAATGATTGGTAAGGGGGGGTGCGGCTTTGGGAGCGTTTGCACCCGGGGTGCACGGCCTTTCCTGCTCCCGAGGAGGAGGCTCTGGAAGCCCAAGCTGATTAAATGCATGTGAAGTCATTAGTGCTGTGCAGCTCCCGGCAGGTTAACCGTTTGTGAGGATGGCGGTGTTTGCTCTTCGTGAGACAGCGGCATGTTTCTGGCAGGGCACGGGGGTCCCCGGGGCCCCCCGCCCCG